CTTCGGACCTTACCTTCACGCACAATCTCCAGTTCATCGATTCAATCATACACTCGAGTTTCGTTCTCATTAGAGCCTATCCATCGTCCGTCCGGGATTTGAACTCCGGACCCATCGCATGGAAAGCGTTTGCGTTACCACTGTACTAACCAGCTCGCACCATGGCTGAGCCAAATTACCAATTCATGTTTGTTCAGGTGTCGTCTTCGGTGACAGTCAGTTCATTTGGCTAGACAGCAACGAAGGGAGACACAGGTAATAATCTGTTAATTCTAATCGAAAGCCTCCCACCAAGTCAAGACTTCCATGCAGGTTATGGGGCTGATTTACCAACGAACCTACAAAGCTCGATTAAACAAACATGAATTGGTAATTTGGTTCAGCCATGGGATGAACTGGTTGGCTCAGTGGTAACACATCTTCCATGCGTTGGGCCCTGGGTTCAAATCACGGACGAGACGGTGGATATGCACTACTGATGGGCTCTAATAAGAGCGAAACTCGAGTCTAGTACTTCCGAGTGTATGGTTGAATCGATGAACTGAATATTGTGCGTGAAGGTGAAGTCCGAAAGATATCCAGCTCAAAGCAATAAATATTTGAGTGTCCAATACGTGATCCAAATCCAGGATCGTTCAAGGAAGCTGAGTTTATGGAATAATAATAATTTAAAGCGAAAGACACCTCGAGATCGCATTGGCGATACGTGTGGCGCGAAGCAGATCCTATCAATTTACTGCTTTACTCGGATTCAGATGAGATTCCCCTCTCACCACAGGTAGAAATAAAAAATACAGAAAAAGATGCTTTATGAATGACACACGCATAGAACAATATGCATTGGTTTTTCTCGAGCATGACAGTGGTGAAAAACAGTGTGCACAATCGGCAACACAATTAACGCTTTAACAAGGATGGGCAGACCAGGATCGAGAATAGGTAGATATATGTAGTGAAATTGTATGAACGATCGTGTTCACAAATACAACCAACAGCCAGTGGATGTATTAGGGATGAAAAAGACCATTTCAATATTTAAAAATGGACTGATTGAATATGTTATGATGACGGGAACAAGTGAAATTCGGTATGTAGGTCTTTAGTCGTCTCATCTCTGAGGAATGGCCGTCTGTTGCACACGGATGCACCGAGATCTGAAATAATTGAAGTGAGAAAAAAGAACTTATTGAGCCAGGTGAAACGGTAACAAGGACCGATACCAAAAGTTAAATTATCAAATGTGAAGGGTGAAAGTATGATGAGAAAGACAACCGTTTTAATAAATGCCCCTAAACACTCCTTCATAGCCAAGGATGCGGGTTCCGTTAAAAGAATTTTTCTGTCCCGGAATACTCTCGAAATGTCCCAGAATAACCTGCGTTTACAGTCCTGTAGGATTGGGTTGGTCCAGCTCCCAATCGCACTCAATGGAGAAAGTAGACAGTTTCTGATATCTGGACAGCTATATCCCACCTGGCGGATAAATCACACACAAAGTCCTGGAGCGTATTCAGAAGACTCGATTGGTATTAACCATATCGAGACATCTCTGGTGCCATCGTAAAACCCGGCTCTGTGAAGAGTAGTGTTTCCTACAGCAGTTCTGGCAGCGCTGCTATATTATGTGAACTTAGCCGTTGAACGATAAACGTAAACTGACGGAGTTCGAACACCATCGTCCACACTTCATTACACGAGTCCGATGGGGACCGGACAATGGTCAGGTCAAGCGAGATGTTTTAGGCAATCGCAGCCGCCGACTGGACCAAGTGCTCGATCTCCATAAAGCACATTGGTTGAAGCATGTCAAGCGTCACCGAATACATTTAAAACGCGTACGATACTTGTAGGGGCCGGTAATGAGTGGAAGAATTCAACGATGGCCCAATTAAGACCTGTCGTAAGGGTATGACAACCTTGGCCGGCAGCCTCGATTATAAACGTCACGTTTGGTTAGCTGTATACGGCCTCAGAACCCGATCGTTAGAAGAAATGGATAATATGCCTGTGTCGCAAACAGTAGCGCTCGTGCATCTGCTCAACCTCTCCGCAACATTGATTCACTGAAGTTTTTACACCTTTACCTTGATAATGCTTCCAGCATTAATTTTTCTTCCACTGTCACATCCAAATGGGAAACCAAAAGACAGCAGTCAAAACTGCCGCACCAAAGTGTACGGCTAATGGTTGTATGAATTGAAACTGAAGCCTCTGCAGAGAGAAGCTTATTCATTGATCTTTAATAAGCTAAGAAGATAAAAAGCCAATATCCCGGGCTATTACCGAGCTGGAAAACCCTGATTCCGAAGCAATTATGATGAGGTGCAGTGTGAGCAACTAATGTTGTCGGAGCGAACAGTAAAATCATAAAGATGATCGCCTCACTAGTTTTTCGACTACCGACAACTATGTGCTCTCTACTCCAGCAGGTAATGGCTCCCTGCATCATACTCCGTCGAGTGTCTGCCGCACGTGAAGCGTGCATACGTGAAGACCAGGCTGATTTTAGACCTGCTCGAGTTTGTATCGACCACATCTTCACTCTTTGTCAAAATTTAGAACAGACACTCCTTTCGTTGACGCACCATTTCTATCTTCCTCAATCTGGAAGCGGGTTTCGACTCAGTCGACCGCACTAAACTCTAGCGCTGCCTCTCCCTGGAGGGTGTGCCCGAGAAGTTTATTTAAATATCATAATCCCTCGAAGCATAGCCCGAGATTACGGCACTTTTTCACCCGAGTTCACTACAGGAATGCCCTCTCTATCCTCTTCTATTCAACTTTGCGATAGATTTTTTTCTTGAAACAGTCCTATCCTCATGCGAGGATAGCGGTATCGATTTTTTTAATTATACACCTTAGTGTAATGAACAGCAGACGAGGAAAGCCCCATAGTCACGAAGACCTGTTGTTCAGTAATGGAAACCGGCAATCTAAGCCAAGGGACTGGGATTGGCGAACCACATAGGGCTCGATATGCAATGTGTGGTCTTGAACCGGACAACAAAACTGCCTACCACCTAAGTTGGGTGGCGGAGCTCGAACCTCGGACCATAGGATCCAAAGCACGCCGGTGACAGCGAATAAACCACTGCGCCACCACCACCCTGCTAAGTGACAGGCTGTCTGGCCTAGAGTATGCAAACGATATTGATCTACTAAGTGAAGATTCAGGTAAGTTGCAAACTGTTCTGGATAGTTAAGGGTGCTAGTGTAACCATGTTCGGTATGTGTTTTACACCTTCAAAGTGTAAAATATTGTTACAAGACTGAGTTGATCCAGCCTCATTCTGACTGAGGACGTAGTAGTCAAATTTTGCTATCTGGGCAGTTATATCTCACCTGGCGGACGCATAACAGATGAAGTGTCGGCACACACACAAAAGGCTCGGTTGGCATTTGTCAACTTTAGTTAGGGGGGGGGGGTT